ATAAAATAGTTAAAAATTCGTACTTTATAACTTATCAAATACTAAGAATATTAAAAACTAGAGAATTTAAGACTTTAATAAATGTATATAAATCTTATATTCGTCCTCAACTTGAATATGCCACTGAAATTTGGAACCCAAACAGAATTCTTCAAATTAATAAAATAGAGCGAGTACAAAAATATTTTACAAGAAGAGCATTAAAAATCGCAGGAATAACGTCACTACCTTATGAACAGAGACTTAACAAATTCAAACTAAAACAACTAAGCCATCGAAGAAAAGTAGCCGATCTTGTAATGGCGCACAAAATTATAACAAAACAGACGCATCTAGACCCACAAAAATACTTTGATTTTGCAGTTAAAGCTAAAAGGAAAATATTTTGTTTAAGGAACAAAAAGTTTAATGGTAAAACTAGAAATAATTTTTTTAATAGAATCATAAATAACTGGAATAGCTTACCTAATGAAATTTTACAAACATATAATTCGCAAAAATTTAGAGTACTTGTTAAAAACTTTATAAAATAGAGGTTTTAGTTCGCAACTCCCTTATCCTCCTAGATTGACATTTTTTTATAAATTTATTATGACATTTTCTTATAGTATTTTGAAAATTTATTTTTTATTTTACCACTATAATTGTACTTTTTATGTACTTTGTGGTTTACTCAATAAATTAAATTAAATATGAGTTAGGGCTCTAATTAAAGTTAAATTTGTTAAAAGATTCTAAAATTAATTTAACTATGTAAATTTATATTTATTTGGTCTTTAATTTATCGGATTCTTGAATTTATAGTTATATTAATTTCGGATTTTTGAATTTATCGGAGTTTCTATATTTTTAAATAAAAATAAAATTGCTTTGAAGCATTGCTTCTCTTAAGCATTGCTTCGAAATTTCAGTTTTGCTTATAATCATACCTCCTCTATTTTTGGCCTCGCGCCACTTCTTAATTTTTCTATTTTTACTCGTAATCCTACTTCGTTCCAAATACGATGTACGAGTACGAATTTTGGTTAGCCTTATTAAATAATACACAAATTATTTTTAGTTTGAGATTTTTTTAAAAGAAATGTTTATCGTTCATTATTTTCTTACGATTTTTATTTTTTCTACAATTTTGGAAATAAATGTTGGTAATTTAGAAATATTTATTTAAAAAAATAAAAGAATTTTAAAACTGTTGAATTCTTTTGTAATTTCACAAAAACATTAAAAAATATAAGAAAAGATAAGAATTGAAATTGTATTTAGTCGATTCTTGTTTTTATATACTTTTTTTAGGATCGGAGGGTATATAAAAATATTCTAGTATTTTATTAAGCCAATGAGGAATTATTATGTTTCAATGATATAAATACATATCAGGGCTGGGCGTAATGGAAAAATAAAAAGCGAAATGCGAAATACGAAACTTTTCGCGCCAAAAAATGCGAGAATGCGAAAGATGCGAAACGCGAAAGTGCGAAATAAGCCCAGCCCTGATACATATGTTGAAATAGCGTGAAAATATAAAAATTATTTAATATCTCTCGTTATTTTTAAAATATATTTTGAACATGGAAATTATTTATTATTATAATTATTTTTAATTTATATTAACAGGGATGGAAAATTCCAGAAGATGGGGTAAAAATTTTTAAAAATTAATTAGGTAATTGTAACAGTTTTTTCAGAATGATATATATTTATCAAAATTTTTTTAAATTTAAAGCTTTCTCTCCAGCAGATAAAATATTATGAAATGTGTGTAAATGAGAGAAATATTAAAATATTTTCAAAATATTACCCATTTTATGAAATCCCCTCTATATTTTAAAAAAATTTTGAAAACGAGAGCATTTATTCAAATTATTTTAAAATAATTTATTAATTATTTTACTTTACTAGTCGGCTAAAAACTTGCCACATCATCAACAACACCACCCACAGCCACCACCCCGACAACAACAAAATTACATTGCATTCAATGTTGTTGATGGTAACTTAGTTCGTGTGCCGGAAGATAATGATCATGTTGACGTGAACATTGTTGATAATTCACATGCACCACCACCCCAACAGAACCACCAGGGGCACAACAACAACAACAACAACAACAACCAAAACCGTACAGGAAGACGTCCTTGAAGAAGTATATTTTTGAAGAGAAGAAAAAATTTTTTGACGTGAAGAAAATTCTTTTAGACTATGAAAATTGTAGAAACTTTATTTTTTTTGGGGGAAAGATTTAAAAAGAAAACTGATTATTGACAAAATTTAACATTTATTTTAAATATATTCATTTAAATTCATTAATTTTAGTATAAAACAAAATTTTTTTTATTTTTTATTTAACTAAAAAGAATTTATAGTCATTAAACTTCTAAAAATAATTTTCATAAAAAAGTAGAGAAGTCCAAAAAATTTTTGGTATTGTAATAAAGATCTTTATTGCTTCTTTTATTTTAGGTTTTGAGGATTGGGCTTTTTTAGAAAAAAATTTAATAAAAAAATATTTCGGTCTTGAAGGAAATTTAAAATCTAATTTTTAAACTGAAAATTTTTTTGGTTTTTTGGAAAATTTTTTGGACAAATAAATTATTTGTCTTTTTTTATACCAATTATTGAGAAAAGAAAAATTGAAAATAAATAATATTTAAAGTTATAAATTTTAAATTAAAGACACGTCAAGATCTTAAAATTCTAACTTACCTAATTTAATTCGGCGAACATTTATTTATATTTAATTGATTTTAAAAAGGGAATTAAAAATTTAAAGTTGTTATTTTAAAGTTTAAATTAATTAAAATTTAAATGTTTTTTATTGGAATTATTTTCTTTATTTTTATTATTTCTGTTACGGATTCTAAGGTATATTTAAATATATTCATTATATTATATCCATAATTAGTTTTAGAAGACACTAGTCTCAAGTAGAGTTGGAAAAACGATACTGCTATCGGCCAACCCGAGACCGAGATTGACCGATACTCAAGAACCCGATACCGATACCATCATTTTTAGCCGAGAAATGGACCAATAATTTCAGTATCGGGTTCGAGAATGAGACTAAAAAAACCGAGACCGATGTTGGATTAAAACCGAGAATCTCGGTATCGGTCTCGTCTTTTCCAACTCTATTCTCAAGACTAATGTTTTTGGAAATTTATTTTGTATAAATCTTATTTTTTGTCTCGTACTATGTATAACGAGTATTAATTTTGGTATGAACTTCCAAACAGGTTGGGAGATATGTAGTCATCCCAATTTCAAATTAGAAATAAATTAAATAATTAATTGCTGCTAATTATAAATATTTTTCAGTCGTCTTCAAGTTCCAGATCTTCAAGTTCTTTTCATTCATCTTCTTCTTTTCATTCACTTTCTAGTCACCCAATTCCAACCTATCCAATCCACTCCCCCTCCTTCCATTCTCCTTCAGCCTCCTTCCATTCACCATCTGATTCTCCTTCTTCTCCTTCTCAATCCAAATCTTCATTTTTTAAACCTTCAATGTTTGCTTCACTTTTAAGATCTAAAAAGCGTAGAACCACAACAACTACTACTACAACGGAAACTTATAGTACAACACCTAATTTTGAGGTACTAAAGTGTTTTTAATTTATAATTAATTTCAAAAACATTAAAAGACTTTTTCGGACCCCCATTTCCTTTTTTAAATAAAAATTAAAAAAATTTCTAAAATAAAAAAAATTATTAATAAAATAACAAAAATAAATTTATAAAAATTTTTTGTCCAACATATTTAGTCCATTCAAACAAAAAACATTGCCAACGTTTAAATATTAAAATAAAATTACTCATATTTGGAAACGGGTTTTTGAAAAAAATTAAATCACAAAAATATTCATTTTCTAAACAAAAAATAATTTAATTTGATTAATTAACAGGATTATGACAATAACACATTAACTAATAGTACAACAACACCAACTTATAGCACAACAGAAAGTGTTTTTGTTTATCAAGCTTCAAATGTAGAATTTAATGCTTGTAATAAGAATAATAATAATTATTATTTAAATTTTATTTTGGTTTTGATATTCATAATAAGGATGCTTTGATATATATTTGAATCAGGGATGGGCTTTTTTCAGACTTCCGTCTTCCGCAAAATTCCGCCTTTTTTTACTTTTTTCCATTCAACATTCCGTTTGTTATTATACTATTTTATTCCGTTTTCTTCTTTCTTTCACTTTTTAAACTGCACTAATAAGCCCATCTCTGGTATACAATCCAAATATTTTAATAAAATAAATTTTTAAAATCTTTTTAATTTTTAAATTGAGGTGCACCCTCGCAGAAGTAAAAGGGGAGTTGAAAACAATCAAAAATAAGAGATTTTTAAAAGCTTAAAAATAATTAAAATCTCAAATTAAAAACGGCATAATAATCTCAAATATATCTAATCAGATATCGAAAGCTTGGTGTTTAACTTAGATATGTATTAAAAGCTCGATAAATACTAGCAGAAAAGTATCAAGCAACTAACTAGAAAAATGTCTCAATCAAAACCTTATTAACAAAACAAAACAAAAAATTTCAAAAATTAATTATTAAACTAAAAAATATTATTTGTCTATTTTGACAATTAATAAGAAAAGGAAAATTGAAAATGAACAATAAATATTTACATAATGTTATAAATTTTAAATTAAAGACACATTTTAAAATTTCAAATTTACTAATTTAATTCGGCGAACATTTATTTACCTATATTTAATTAATTTTAAAAGGAAACTATAAATTTAAAGTTTTTATTTTAAAATTTAAATTTAAATTAAAATTAAAAAATGTTTCTTATTGGTTTTTTATTAAAATTATTTTCTTTACTTTTATTATTTCTTCTACTGATTTCTGGGTAAAATTTAAATATATACAGATATTCCCTTTCTCGTCTTCAATGAATCCTAAAATTATTATTTATTAAAAAAATATTTTTTTACATAACTTTAAAAAGAAAAATAATTTAACAAAAACAAAAACAAATGCCAAGTACAGCAATCCAAAAATTATTATTAAAAATTTCTATATTTTTAATCGTTGCTGGACTTGCATTAACAATTGCTGGATTAGAATCTCCAGCTTGGCAGGTTGTTGATATTCGGGAATTTGGAGCAGAACATCAACACGGGCTTTGGTGGGATTGTACTAGAGCCAAAAAGGTTGGAAAGAAAAATTAAAAATAATTTTTTATAATTTCTTTCAATTTATTCTTCTATTTATTTTAAATAAAAAAAACGAAAGTCAATTAATTGTGGTTGGACTTATTTTTTCAGTGATAACCCAACCACTCCGGACCCTTCGCTGAATATTTAACATTAAAATTCATTTTATATATGGACTGAAAATAAATAAAGAGAAATACCGTATTTTCTCGATTAATTCCCCTCCCTCGAATAATTCCCCCTCTCGATTAATTCCCCCTGCCAGAGATAGGTTGAAACAATAATTCCCCTCCCTCGAATAATTCCCCTCCCTCAAAACTTGAATAATTCCCCTCTCACAAAAGAATTACACACTTTTATTTTTCTTCTCCTTTTTTACCTCTTTTAAAAAAGTCGACATGGATGAGAGTAGTATTTAACAGCTGAAATATCAAGGTATAGAATTTAAGGATAACAGAGTATCAGAGGATAGCAATGGATTTGAACGTAATCAGGAAATATCAGAGGATTGAAGGGATATCAAGAGATATATTCGAAGAGGACGGAATTTAATTCAAATAGTGGGATAATGGGATAGTAAAAAAAAATAATATATAAAGTAGTTAAGTATATATAGTTCCATACTTGGTGATATAATATATATCCCTTAGTATTGTATCATACAATGACCCATCATGTGGTACTATAATCCTAATATACACATTTTCGAGTACATAAAGAACTGTGTAACCACATGCAAGTTATATGGAACCATGATGGGGAATATAATGAAATAGTAGATAAATAAAAAAAGAAAAAAAATGCCAAAACTTCATACTTTTAAAATTCAGGAATGCGTTGAAACAATAATTCCCCTCCCTCGAATAATTCCCCTCCCTCGATTAATTCCCCCTGCCAGAGATAGGTTGAAAAAATAATTCCCCAGGGGAATTAATCGAGAAAATACGGTATGTCGATGTCTATTTTTTAATTTTTTTTTAAATTTTATATGTACTCTCCTTTTCTTTCTCTCGTTTCTCTTCCCTCTTTCAATTACTACAAAAATTAAAATATTTTAAAAAATTATTTTTATTTCCTAATCTAAACAAAAATTAAAAAAAAATTAATTCTTAAAGTTTTTCAGCATGTTGTGGCTGTTGGCGATTCTTATGATGAAGTACTTTGTTTTAATTTTTATTTTCTTGTTCCATTTAAAGGCTGCTTGTACAAATTTGACCAATCAGCCGCTCTCGTTATTGAAAAAAATTATTTTATTTATTTATAAAATTATTTATTTTATTTACCCTAAATTATTTTTTTTCTGTATCCAAAACAAATTTTTCTTTCAAAGAATCGAACTGATGAAGATGAGGCAGCTGGAGAAGCAGAATACCATCGTTTTTGGGGATGGCAAAAAGTAAAAATTAAAATTAATTTTTAAAAATAATTAATTTAAAGGTTGTTTTAACTTTAATTTTACTTTCCCAATTATCTGCTTTTGTTGCTATATGTACAGGTGACAACAAGGTACATGTTGCTATATGTACCTTGTTTCCCTCCATCGACTTTTTGTTTTACAATTTCAATTTTTATTGCCAGTTTGTTTTTAAGAGAACAAGAAAAATAATTTTTCTTAATTTAAAGTGTTACTTTCAATGTTGTCTGATGGAGTTTTCTTTTTTTCTGCAAATCGAGAAGATATTCGTTTTATTACTGGTAAATTAATTTTTTTTATGAAAAAAAGGAAAAAGGTATTGGGTTTAAATGGAAGTAAAAAAAGAAATTTTTGGAATTTGAACAAACTTTGAGGTTTGAAAATTTTTTCAATTTTCTTTTATTAAATTAAATAAATAATTTTATTTCGATTTTAACGAGGAATGACATTTACAAATAATTATTTAAAACAAAAAGACCATTAAATTAATAAATTAAAATTATTTTTTTTTATTTTATAGGAATACTTGGAACTTATGTAAGTATTTATTTTTAAAAATTAATTTAAAATTTAATTCATCTAATAAATTTAAAGGAACAAATAATTGGTTATGCCTTTTATTTACATGTTGGGGGTACTTTTTGTTGGTTAATTGCTTTTGTTTGTGCAATTACAACAACTTATAAATTTATTAAAGAATAATAATAATTATTATTATTTAAATTTTATTTTGGTTTTGATATTCATAATAAGGATGCTTTGAATAGAGTATATACATACCGTATATACTCTATTAATTACTTTGGGTAATTATTGTTTCGACCTCTCTCTGGGGGGGGGGGGTAATTAATCGAGAGGATGGGCTAAATTTTGGGCATATCTCAATAAATCGAAGAAGAAATCCATGTATTTTTTGATATTGATTCTTATAATGTTTCAATAATTAAAATTGACAACGATTTTTTCAATATTTTTGAAATTAGAGAAGGAAAGGGAGGGGGTAATTATTAAAGAGGGTAATTATTTGAGGGAGGGTAATTAATAGAGTATATACGGTATATGAATCAAGGATGGGCTTTTTCCGACTTCGGTCTTCCGCAGAATTCTGCCTTTCTTTCACTTTTTCCATTGAACATCCCGTCTGTTACTTAATTCCGTTTTCTTCTTCCTTGCAAATTTTAAATGCAAAAAGCCCATCTCTCGTATAATACAGTTAACATATTTTAATATATTTCTTTACCTTTTTAATTTTTAAATTGAGGTGCATCCTCACAAAAAGGAGTAAAAAGGAGTGGGAGTCAATCAAAAATGAGAGATTTTTTAAAAGCTTAAAAATAATTAAAAACTCATGAAAACGGCATAATAATCTCAAATATTCCTAATCAGATATCGAAAGCTTGGTGATTAACTTTGATATGTATTAAAAGCTCGATAATTCAAACAAGGAAAAAAGCCTAGACCTAAATTTCTCAATTAAAACTACTGAAAAACAAGACAAAATTTTTTCAAACTTTATTTAATCGAAAAATACAAGCAAATACAAATTATATATACATACATACAAGCATTATAATACAAACAACATAGGTAACAATACAAAGTGAGTTTTATATAAGGGAGGCAAATGTACAACATGAGAGAGGGGAAATTATTAGGAGGGTTGGAGAGATTTCTATTGTGGAAGAACATCTATGTATTTCGATCATCATCAGTCTTCCTCATCTGAAGAATGAGTCGACGGCACCTCCACTTGGCGGAGGTGGAGCGCGTCCTCCTCCTCCTCCGCCCTGCTCCCAGTCGTATGGCCTCTCTGGAATTCGGTTGTTGGTGAGGTAATCCTTGAGGATTTTCATGATCCATTTGTAGTCAGGGCGAGTGTAGAACTTCAGGCTGTCGATGTGTTTGAGCACTTGGCCGAATTCTTGAGGACAACCATCGATGAGACTCCTGACCGCCGCCTTCCTCGTCTCAAGGTCCATGCTGGGCAGCCTTTTCTTTTTGTATTCGCCGATCTAGAAAAAGAAAAATGATTGTTTTTATTTTTTAGAGGGTTTTAGGTTTGTTTACCATGTTCATGTCGCCGACATTCCCCCATGGCAGTGATCCTCTGTATATCTCGACGAGCATGTAGAACCAAGACTCCAGGTCGTCCTTGCGGGAATACTCCCTGTTGATGTGTGCTGAGATGGCTGCATAGCGTGGAGAGCCGCGGAAGTTTGAGGCCTGTCTTGGTCGACGTAGAGATCCCTAGAGAAAAATAAAAAGAAAGTTTATTTTTTACTCCTTTAATTTCTCTCACATCCTCGCGTTTGAATTTCCGCGCCATGCCAAAGTCGAGAAGATAGAGGACATCCAGCTCGTTCTCGTCCGCACGTCCAATTGCTGCGTTCGCTGGCTTGAGGTCCCGATGGAGGTAGCCGATCTCGTTGAGAGCCCTGATCGCGTTGACCATTTGCACTGAGATGCCAATTGCAGTGCCAGGTGTGAAGCGTCGACCCGGCCGCTCCTCGATCAGCTTGTCCAAGCTTTTTCCAACCAGCGCCATTCTGAAAAATGGAATTTATTTTAGATCCGCGCCCACTAAAAGTAAAATAAACTCCTTACACGATGTAGTTGAAGGTGACCGATCTTCCTGCTGGGTCCATCTGTGTATCTCGTCCAATGTCGTGACACTTGGTGAAGTGTTTGCCCTCCTTGATGCCGTGAAGGTCTTGCAGAACTTGAGCCTCCATGGCAAGCAATGGAGGATTGGCGTTCAACGGCTCCGTCTTGAGTGCAGCGGTCAGATTTCCGTGCGTACAGAGGTAGACTGCTCCAAACGCGCCGGCTCCTAGCTTTTTGGTAATGGTCCACTTGTTGCAGCGTTGGCCTGGCTGAAGGGTTACAAGCTGCTCCTCGCCCATTGTTTGTGATGATGAGTGTTGTCGAACAGTTGAGTTGATGAAGGGTTGATGATTGACGCAGCAAAACAAGGCCTTTTATAGTGTTAGGACGCAATTATTGTAAGCAGGGGCTAAGGATAGTATAAAAGCTGTTATCAGTGTCAGACCACTCGGATCATACTAGCCTAGCTAGTCACTGATCAGTCCTCGTCAGCTCCAACTTCAATTCATCCGTCATAGTTTCTACAACTGATCGCGAGTTATTTTCTTCATCGACACTGCTAAACCACGGGCAGCCTCCTTCCACTTAGTTTAAAAAACTTTTGCCCTCGTTGAAACAACTTTTCTAGTTTTGTAACAAGAAAAAAAGTTGAAAAATGTTTTCTTGTTTTTAACCTCTTTTTGTTACTCTTAATTTCACATTATGCGCTTGTCTAGAGCTGGTATTTTTGTTTTTCTCTTATAATATAAAATTTTTTAAACATTCTAAGAAACATTTAAAAAAATTTTTTATTAAATAATTCACGTGCTTTTTGCCTTTTTTACTTGCACTTAAATTTTCGATAATTGATTTAACTTTTAAAGAGAGGGAGAGAGGCTGAGGGAGAGAGAGAATTTAAAAATAAAATTTTTTCTTGGCAGTTGGATAGGGGATGCTATATAGTAAATGAATTTTTAAAAAATCAAAGATTTATTTTTAATTTATAAAAAATGTTTTTTATTTATTTAATTTTTATTTTATTTGTTTTTCCTTTTCTGAAGGCTAATGAGGTTATTTTGTTTTGAATTTTAAACATTCTCTTTGCTAAATTCTCGTTTTAACAAATTTTATCCAAAAATTCCTAGCAACTTTTTTCAAACGAGATTTCGCTATAAACGGTTATATTTATATCTGAGGGGAATTTGATAAAATTTATATTTTGATTATATAATGGTGATTATTCTGGTAGTATTTAAAACGTTTAGATGATAATCAGGAATTTGTAAAAAATTAAGTAAATTGTCATACAGATAAATCTTTAAGTAAAGCATCAGCAATAGATTTGTTAAAAAAATCTTTTTTACAGGGTCCTCAAAGGATTGAACTGACCAGACCTCCAGGATTTGGACAAGTAAACTTATTTTACAAAATTTATTCTTTTAAAATCAAATTATAAATTTTATTTTATCCTAATCAGTCTCATTAAACACCCCCCCCCCTCCCCCCATCTTATAATAAGATTCCTGCTAAAATTTTATTACAATACAAAAGACAATACGAAGAGGAATTAAAAGAATTCGATTTTATGTCCAAATCCTTGTCAAATTCACGACATTAACAGGGTTAACATTTGATTTTTAAATAAAAATAGGTAGAAGAACTAGAACAACAACTTCCACAACATCCACAGCATGAGGAACATCCGGTAGCAACTGGCACTGTAATAAATGAAGGATTGTTCGGAATTGCTCATGAAGTACAAAATGGAGCTCCGAATCAAACGCCAGTTGAAAATGAAGGAAATAGAGTTCAAATAGATCACGCCCATATTAATCAACGTTTCCAAGGACATAATCATCACCGAATTCGAAATCATCGAAACAACAATCAAAGGCCTTGCTGTACTATACTTTGAAAAAAAATGAGAAGAGACAGTTATTTTTTGATGAGTAAAATTTAAATTAGCTTTTAAGAAGATACGAAAAAAATATTTATTTTTACCCTCACTTGTTTAAAAATTCCTCAATAATTACAAAAATTATCCTTCTAACTCCGTCATATTTTTAAATACCTTTCTTTATTTTTTATGTGTGATTTTTTAATTGGGTTAGTAAAAAGGATTATCAAGCATTCTGTATTATTTATTTGCTATCAAAATTTTTTTAAGAAAAGTTTGTTAATAATTAATCGCAATCATGAGAAATATTTTACTTACCGTATTTACTCAATTAATCCCCCTGGGAAATTAATATTTTGACCCATCCATGGGATGAAGAATTATTGCGGGAGGGGAATTATTCGAGGGAGTACGGTAAACTTACTCTAAACCCTTAAATGCTAAATACACAAAATTGTTAAATTTTGCCAGATAACCTTAAGCAAGTTTTCTATTGTTAAAAATATTTTTACATGAATTATTTTTTGGCCCATTTAATTTCACATTAGACGCCTGTCACCAACTAGAGCTGATTCTTTGTTTTCTCTTTTAATTTAAACTATTTTAAACATTTTTACAAACATTTTCATAAAAAAATTTTTTTTTATTTAATTCACATGCTTTTTTGCCCTTTTTACATGCATTTAAATTTTCGATAATTGATTTATTAATTTACATAGGGAGGATATAAAATTTTTTTCTCGGGCATGTTAGTGAGGCATGTTGAGTGAATTTTAAAAAATCAAGGATTTATTTTTAATTTTTAAAAATGTTTTTTATTTATTTAATTTTTATTTTTGTTGTTTTACCTTTTTTGGATGCTGATGAGGTTATTTTATTTAAATTAATTAAATATTCTTTATGTTATAAAAAATATAAGGGATAAATTCAAAACTAAATGTTGCCAGAAACGGTTATTTATGTATCTGAGGGGTAATTGATAAAAAATTGGTCTATATAACGATGAGTATTCTTTTAAAACTCTTAGAAAGAGGTCAAAAATCTATAACAAGAGGTTAACACTTGATTTAAATCCAATGTGGATTAATAAGATCTCCAATAACCTAGAATTAGTAATTTTTATAACAAAAAAACGTTAATAATCTACTAAAGTTTATCCAGAATTTTGGCAAAACAAAAAGAAAATTTAAATTAAAAACAAATTTATCAGAAAATCTTTTTA